GTACATACCCAGGTTGCATGTTCAGTCCCCGGTCTAGGTGTGTATGGGCAGCCGATTGATGTTTCTCTCTCACATCAATGTTTCTCTCTCTCTCTCTGAAATCAATGAAAACATATCCTTGGGTGAGGATTAAAAAAAAAAAAAAGAGCCTGGCCGGGCGTGGCTCGGTGGTTGAGCATCGACCTAGGATCCAGGAGATCATGGTTGATTCCCGGTCAGGGCACATGCCCAGGTTGCAGCTCAATCCTCAGTGTGGGGCGTGCAGGAGGCAGCCGATCAATGACTCTCTCATCATTGATGTTTCTATCTCTCTCTGTTCCTCTCCCTTCCTCTCTCTGAAATCAATAAAGATATATTTTAAAAAAAAAGAACGTTACTAAATCACAAATTTAAAAAATATTTTGATCATTATTTCAATATGCAATGTAATTGTCTTTTTAAATCCTATGTATTTTGTTTTATGGGTTTGAAAAACATTCAGAGAAGGGTCCATAGGCTTCACCAGATGTCAAAGGGGTTCATGACACACATAAAAAATACTCTAAAAGAGCTGATGTGGTCTGTCCCTGACGCTTCTCTCAGCTGACGTCCAGCCCACAAGGAGAGGCTGAAGGGAAAACCCAGAAGAGCAGTGAGAACAAGCTTTCCAAGAGACCCCATGGCCTACATTTCCTGTCCTATTTATAAAATCATGATATCTGCAGCAGCTTTGAGCAGAGACCTGCTACAGAAAATGGGGAGCCCTCCATTAGAAAGCCCTCTAAAAACAATGCATAGCTCAGTTGGTTAGAGCGCCGTCCCGATACGCCAAGGTTGTGGGTTTGGTCAGGGCACATACAGGAACCAACAAACGAATGCTTAAATAAGTGGAACAGATGGATGTTTTTCTCTCTCTCCCCCTTCCTCTTTCTAAAATCAACTTTAGAAAATACTCAGAAGAATAACCGGCTTTCCCTCTGTCCTCTGCCTGGGACCATGTGGCCTCCAGCTCACAAGAGTTCTGCAGGATACCTTCTGGTTAAAATTAAAATCACCCAAAATGCTCAAGACCGAAGTAAGACACACTCTCTTCCTATGAATCTGGAACTAGACAAGGGGAGGGAGGGGAAAACATTTCTTTTTATAAATACTCTCTGTTAAAGCAAGAAACCTATCTGAAGTAGCAGATTGTGGATATACGTTCCAGGAGGTGGAGCACAGCACAATGTCCTGGTTTAGGTTTAAAGGCTGATTCTTATAAACCCAAAATGCACTCATGGGAGTGGGAGACGTGAAGGATACAGAAGATACAGAAAGAAACACCATCTCCAGGATCCCTACTAGAGCCTGCAGAAGGCGGGAGCAGCGAGAATCATGAGGCAATTTCTTGGCATCTCGGCCTGTGAATCATCACTCTCAGATGGATTCACTGAACGACCTCTAATTTGGAAGCAGAGCAACAGAAGGGCCCCAAATTAACTTCAGTTTTGTCCTTCCCCTTTCACTTGGTGTCTGTGGGCCTGCATGTGGGGCGTCATCTATGATAGGGTCAGGATATCTAGGGTGGTTCACCTTCATGCTCATCACAGTAAAAATCTGCCCAAGATATTTGGGGTGTGGCAGTGGAGCTGGGGGGTAGCCAGTTCAAAGAAAGGACTCACATATAAAATTATTAATTAAAGAGACACTAAACGTGCAGAGGACAGGGAGGAAAAGAGATGACAGTGTAATGTAAACGGTTCTTATGAGACTAGGATAGGTGGCTGTGCATAGAATATCTCTGGGAGGCTGTCCTGGAAAATGCTAACAGTGAGTGCCCCTGGCAAGGGAGGGGGTTAAGAGTGGAGCTTGGGCTGTAGGATGGAACCTGACTTTTCTGTTACACACCTTTTGTATCATTTAAATTTTGAACTACATGTATTATTAAATAAAAAGTTATTGTTTACAGCCCTGGCTGGTGTGGCTTAGTTGGTTGGGCATCATCCAGTGCACCAAAAGGTTGCCAGTTTACCAGTCAGGGCACATGCCCAGGTTACAGGCTCAGAGGCAGCCACTCGATATCATGCTCTCACGTCGATGTTTCTCTCTCTCCCTTCCTCTCTCTCCCAAATCAATAAAAAATCTTCTAAAAATAAAGTTTTTGTTTACAGTCTTGCATGTCTGAAGGCTCTGTAGGAATGTAATGGGTGCTTAATAAACAAACATGTTAAACCACTGTGCTGTTTAAGGAACTAGCATTTATGTAGTGCCTACTGTGTGCCAACGGCCTTTGGCTATGCCTTTTTTACTGATTTTAGGAAATGGAGGCTCAGCTAGGAGGGAGCCGAGTGGGGACTCCTTCCAGGTCTGCTGGAAGCCAGCACTCTGCTCCTCAGCAAGGACCACACCACGTTCCTCCCCGGAGTGAGCAGTTGGAGGCACCAGATGCTCTGGCAGGATCCAGAGAGATGCCATCTGTGAGGGAAACCTATTCTTAGAGAGCAGAGACAGTCGGTAGTGGAGCCGGCCAACCCCCAGTGGCAGTAGGGGGACATGGAGAGGGCAGGCAGCCAAGGCTTTACCTTCAGCTGAGGGGTAGGACAGGCTGAAGGCAGGATATACTCAGTTCTCAGGACCACACTTCCTTCTACATTCAGATGCTATTAGAAATAACAGCAAACATTTACTGAGTGCTTATTTATGTGTGTCCTATCATTTAATCCTCTGGATCACCTAGAGAATGCCTACTTCACAGATGAAACACAGGCACAGAATGGTTAATCACTTGACCTAGGAAACAGCAGAACCAAAGCAGAGCCCAGACATTGGCTACAAAGCCTATGTCCCCAACCACCATGTTATACTATCTCTCAACCTGCTACACCAGAGGCCAATTTTAGTTTGGGTTCCCCCAAGAGCAGACCCCAAGACAAGGATTTGAGTGCAAGTGGTTTATATGGGAAGTGGTCCCAGGAAGCACTGGTAGGGGCATGAGGAAGGGAGACAGGGAAGGGGGTGTTATCAAGCAAGTGACCACTGTGGACAAGCGAAGCTCAGTGGAGCTCTGGGAGCCATAGTGGAGCACGCCTCCTGGGCAAGGGGTGCTGGAGTGGGGCTATTTATCAGTCATTCGTTGAGAGCTGCGCCCTGGATGTGTTAATCCTCCAGCACTGCAAGTCTGCCACAGGGTGGCAAAGCAGGTGCCAGTGGCAAGTGAGAGCACTCAGGCAGGAAGACACAAGGGGTGGCAGTTGGAAAAGCTGGCTGGTGTGCACTAAAGTGGTAAGCTAGAGGAGATATGGGCAGGGCACCCCCAGCATCTGCTATAAAACACGCTTGCTGATGGACACTCCCTCCCCTCCCCGTAACCTTGGGACCTCATTCAGCCTCCACAGAGTGAACTAAGGGGCCTTCAAGATCACTTTCTCTGGGAGGGGGGTGGGATGGAGTGGAACGGGTCATTGGGGAGAAAAAGGGAAATCTGTAATATTTTAAACAAAAATAAAAATTTAAAATTAAAAAAAAAAGATCACTTTCTCCAAGTTGGCAGTACAACATCGTGGCTGAGAACACAGCTGTCAGAATCAGACCTACCCCCTGCTCTGTTACCTAACAGCTCAGCTCTGTTTAATTCCGTTTCCTCATCTGTCACATGGGGTAACGGTATCTTGTTATTAAGGTGTGGCTCAGACCAGCAGCAGCAGCACTTGGGAGTCTGAGAGATGTGCAGAATATTCAGGACCCACCCCAAATCCATTGAATCAGAATTTGCATTTTAATAAGATCTCCAGTTACTCATGTGCACATTTCTACCAGCAAGTTCTAAAATATAAAGAGACTGAAATATTATTAGGCCAAGGGCCTCCAATTGGTGGGCCATGGACCAAATCTTCCTGGAGACCTGACTGAGGTTTTAAAATATTGTCCAGCTTGGTTTTAAAATATTGAACTGGCACATGAGCCTCCAGTTCATCATGTCCCCATCTGTCCCTACTGCATAGCACCCAGAACATGATCATTTATGTCACTGCTAGGCCCCTGCAGGCATTTGAGTTTGTACCCTCTCTGGAACAAACCCTAGAACTAGTTAACATTTGCATAGCTTAGCTTAGGTTTCTAAATTTAAAGGCACTGAAAAACACTTTCAAATCAGATAGATAGGCTTTGAAATCAGATAGATCTGGGTTCAAACCCTGATAGGGCTACCATACTAGCTGTATACCTTGGGCAAGTTACTTCCCTTCTCTGATTCTCAGTTTCCACATCTGTAGAATGGAAATCAAAATACAGACCTGTAAGGTCACTGCATGGATTAAAAATCTTATGTGCAAAACACCCAGGAAGAAGTAGGAGCTCATTAAATGGAAATGATTCGTTGTGGTAGTTATGCAAGTCCAACATGGACCCCGGGTATTATTACAATTATCTTCATTTTACAAGCAACTGAGGCTCTGGGAGGTCAAGAGCCTTCCTCAAAGTTACACAGTGGTGGCCTGGCTGGCATGGCTCAGTGGTTGAGCATCAACCTATGATCCAGGAGATCGAGGTTCGATTCCTGGTTAGGGCATATGCCCAGGTTGCGGGCTCGATCCCCAGTAGAAGGTGTGCAGGAGGCAGCCGATCAATGACTCTCATCATTGATGTTTCTCTCTCTCTCCCCCTCTCCCTTCCTCTCCCTGAAATCAATAAAAATATATTTTTTAAAAAGTTACACAGTTGTGGAGTGGGGTCTCAAACCCATGTCCTCTAGCTCTATATCTGCACTGTCCACTAGAATTTTCTGTGATGATAGAAGTGTTCTTTATCTGTATAGTCCAATACAGTTGCCACTAGTCACATGTGGCTATTTACTGAACACTTGAAATTGACTGGTCTAAATTGAGGTATGTTATAAGTGTAAAACACATACCTGATTTTGATGACTTCGTATAAAAAAAAAAGAGTATGAATGATCTCATTAATTTCCTAATTAGTTACATCTTGAAGTGATAATATTTTAGAAATTTGGGCTAAAATGTATCATTAAGGTTAATCTCATCTGCTTCTTTCCACTCTTTTTTAATGTGACTGCTAGAAAAATTTCAATTACATATATGACTGCCATTATATTTCTTTGGACAGTGGGACTCTAGATCTTCTCCAATAGAACACTCGAGACAAGGAACTTAATAATTTGTAAAAACGTATTTGCAAACCCACTGCCCACCAGCATAAGAATAGTCAAAAGGACATACCCACCAGAAAGAGATTTCAGGGCTCTGCACTGAGCTACATGTCCCCTGAGGCTTAGAGAGGGGAGGTGACTTGCCCTGGTCTCACAGAAGTTAGCAGTACAGCTAGAACCATGCCCAAGACTCCTCAGCCTGATTCGGCCTCTTGTTCCACCATTCAAGAGTACCTAATGGGATTTGAAAATTGGTGCTTTTGCTTTGGACAGTGGAACCCAGGGATAATAAAAGTTGGAGTCTGAGAGCCATGATCTTGAGAAAGCAGGATCCTCTGAGAGGTTTCACTGATGGAGCCAATCTCAAGCCACAGCTGAACATGGTCCAGAGCCTACACGGGTAGAAGTCCCCACAAGCACTTCAGGGCTGTGCTACTTCGAGGGACGGCTCTTGTTGTAGATGAGGAAGTCTGAGATGTCGTGCCACACATTGCTGTCCTCGTACAGGTAGGTCATGGAAGACTGCAGTGAGGGCTGCAGCGAGTGCCGGTGGTACTCAAAGAGCCACAGCACCAGCCCCCATACTGTCCCGGCGAACAATGGGTATGGGTCCCACCTGGGTTCAGGAATGTAGCCCTTCTCCATTCCCAGGCGGCAGAGGGCAAACAGGACGCGTGACAACAGGTACATGTTGATCTGCAGGAAGGGAGTGACAGGGGATTACAGGTGTGCACAGCCACTAGGAACCTTCTGCCCACCCCTCTGCATGGATCAGTATTTTTCAAAGTTGGTATGCAAGATGATCTGAAGTGGTATCAGACATTTCAATAGTACTATTTCATATCTTTAATTTATTATTCTTACTAAAATTTTTTTAAATGAATATATTTACATGGTTCAAAACTAAAACATAACTTGACACCAAAAAAAAAAAAATCTATAACAAGTAATTTGATAAACTGTATCTCAACAAAATTAAATTTTGTTGTTGTTGTTGTGAAAGCGCCTGTGAAGAGGCCAAAAAGAAAAGCTATAGAGTAGGAGAAAATATTTATCAAAAAAAAAATCTGACAAAGACTAGTATCTGGAATATATTTTTTAAAAACTCAAAACTCAACAGTAAAAAAAAAACCCAGTTAGTAAATGGGCAACAGACATGAAGATACTTCACTGAAGAGGGTTATACAGATGGAAAATAAGCACATGTAAAGCTGTTCAACATTAGCCATCAGGGAAATGCAAATTTAAAACCACAATGAGATGGCATTTCACACCTATCAAAATGGCTAAAATTTTAAAAAATGTGATAAACCAGATACTGGCTAGGATGTGGAGGAACTGGGTCACTTGTATATATTCCTGATGGGAATGTAAAATAGTACAGTCGCTGTGGAAAATAGTTTGTCAGTTTCCCTCCCTC